GGTCATGCCGCAATCCCTTCTCCTCCATTCTCCTCTCGGGATCTTGGGCACGCACGCACACGCGCCCGGCGTGAGTTTCAAGCCACCGGGTCCGGGACACGAACCGCGGTCGACTATGTGGGAGTCCAGCGACATAGCCATTACGCTAACTGCTGGTTCCCTTGAGAGATTTTTGCTCTGGGGCATGTGCACAAGGTAGAGAGACAGAAAGCGAGAAATCACCCCCCATGGAGGATGGCCATGGCTTAATCCTTCCTCCTCCACTATCCTCTCAAGATTTTCACCACACACGCACACGTGCCCAGCATAAGTTTCAAGCCACAGGACTTGAACTGTGGTCGACTACATGGGAGTCCAGTGATGTAACCACCAAACCATCTACTAGACCTATGTCTTCTTTTCTTTTTTAACTGCCAGTGGGCATGTGCACTGGCAAGCGAGACAGAGAGACAAAGTAAGAAAGCACCTTCCAAGAGTGTAGTTATGCTGCAATGCCTTTTCTCCCATGCTTCCTTTCCATTGAGATTTTGGGCATGCAGGCACACTTGCCTGTCATGTGTCTCAAGTCACTGGGACCAGAATCCCAACTGGGGGTGCCCATGTGGGGTCTGGCTTCCTTACCACAGGCCAGCTAATTTATCATTTTTTTTCTATAAATATGTACAAAAAGTAAACTGTGGAAGAAAACTGGAAAAAAAACAAAAACAAAAACAAAAAAACCACAAACCCATATCCTTTGATTGCAGGGAAAAATATAAATTAATGAATTAACTTAGATATATAGATATTGGTAACACAGTAACTGGAATGGGAAGATTTTGCTGTGACTGTTCAAAAGAAATGTTCACATGTGGCTGCCAAAAAAACATATCCAATAAGTTTTTCACATTGATTAAACTTTAAGATACCTATAACTCCCTGGAAGCAAAATGGAAGGAAGAAAAATAGACATTTAGTAAAATAGTATCTTTGAAAACACTATCTATGGGTTAATCTAATCCATACTTTATCAAAAGTTAAGAAAATATTTTTTTAAAGATCGGTTTATTATAAAAATTTTTGAAAATACAAGTAAACAAAAAATAACATCAAAATTATCCTTAATCACACTACCCCAAAACATTAATACTCAGAAACATTAATATTTGTCTTTTTCTTTTCAGCTTTTCTCTATACATATGCACATATACATAGTTTTAAAACCATTTTAGGCATGGGAAAACATGCATATGTAAATAGCATAAATAATACAGTGCCAATATTAACCTGCACAAGCACTAAAGTTAACTTACCTTTCTCTTTAAGATTCCGAAATAGCTTTGATGAGCCTTTCCAAACTGGTGGTGTTTCTGAGAGCATTTGATTTAATTCCTATCACAGAAGTTATCATAATACTGGTTAATAGGTAAACTGATTACTTACAAAATAGTTTTTAAAAAAAATTCTCTACTTAAAAGTCTTAAAATTTGGCATTATTCACTCTATGTGTGGAACATAAAACCACAAAACCCATTACTCGTCCACAGAACTGATCATAAATAAATGGCCCAGTCCCAGTCTTTATTTTTTTTCTTTTAGTTTTTTTTTTAATTGCCAGAGGGCATATGCACTTGCCAAAAAGAGAGACAGAGAAAGCACCTCCCAGTGGGGTGTGGTCATGCCATGATCCTGTCTCCCCATTTCTCCATCTTGTCAGGACTCAGGGGCATGCATGCACAGGCACCCGGCATGCTTTTCAAGCTACTGTGGCTGGGGTTGGAGCTGCACTGTTGGTCATGTGAAATCTGGCTTCTTTAACCACTAGGCCATGATGCTGGCCCTTTTTCTCTTTCTTTCACAAGAGAGAGACAGAGAGAGAGAGAGACAAAGAGAGAAAGAGAGAGAAACAGAGTCAGGGACTGAAAGGGAGAGAGAGACTGACTTCCAACAAGGCATCCTCCCCCGTTTCAGCAGCCCATGTCATGTCACACATATGCGCTCAGGGAAGTCCTAAGACCTTTCCTGTGTGGGTCCAGCTGCATTACCACTGAGCAACCACCTAGTCCCTGCTGAAACCTTTTTTTCTTTAAAGTTTCTTTTTCTTCTATGAGCAAGAGAGACAAAGGCAGAGACACAGCACCTCCACTGGAATTCTGATGCTGCATTTCACTCTCAATTTCAGTCAGACCTAGATCATGGGCATATGTATGTCTTGTGTAGGCAGGGAGGCCTTGAGGCTCAAACCTGGAACCTTCTCATGTGGGTCAACCTTGCAAAGCACATGTCTTATCTGGAGAAAGTCTATTACTTTGACACTGGTGATCGGGTCAGTCTTTTCTCCTGTGACTTGCAGATCTTTCCATGTATCCTTGAAGCTGTTTCTAGATTAGAAATGTTATCTTGATCTAGTTTTTAAAAATCCTTGTAATACTACAAAACTATTTTAGTTACTATTGCTCTTTCATTAATCTTAATATGTGACAGACTCAACTGTTCTCATCTCAGTATTCCCCCCCCCCTTTCTTTTTGGCATTGTCAGCTCCCTTAAAAGTTTAGTTGGATATATAAACTTTTTTCTATAACAGAAAATTTTTTGCTCAGAAAGAAATGATTTTATTTCAAAAACTGCAAACAAACAAGGAAAATCCATATAAATCAGAGAAAAAAGTTCAGACAGCCTGAAAACGTATACAAAATATTGTTAATGTAGGGACCAGCAGTTAGCGTAATGGCTATGTTGCTGGACTCCCACATAGTCGACCACGGTTCAAGTCCCAGACCCGGTGGCTTAAACTCATGCCGGGCACGTGTGCATGCTTGCCCAAGATCCCGAGAATAGAGGAGAAGGGATTTAAAAAGTTAATTCCAAAATCAATTTTGTTGGAATTTTTTTTTTTTAATTAAGTTTATTCATTTACTTGCTCCACAGATGGGAGAAACAGAGAGTGAGAGAGATCAACCCAACATGGTCCTCACACTGTGATCCACCCCGTCTCAGCTGGCTCAGATTAGGAGCACATGGCCACATGCCCTGTGTGCACAGGGAGGTTCGTGGAGGCAAACACAAGTGGATACACGTGGATCCGACTATGCCACTGCTGTGCCACTACCTGGCACCCTCCATGATCGCTTTATGTGAGCAATGCTGTGGGCAACCAGAGCTCCACCCAGCTTAGGAAGCTCCGAAGAGCCTGCAGAATGCTTCTCAGCCTTGGCAGGACAGAGTGAAGGAGGGAAGTAATTAACCCACCATCTTCTGCTTCTCACTGACTGAGTCTTCCTCTGGGAGTGAACTTCCACACACTTCCAAGCTTGTGTGTACGGCAGGATGACAGAGGAAGCGAGCGCTCTCAGTGCACCTGAAGACCCAATGCTGCGGGGTTTCACTGTCTCACAGCTGGCTGCTACAGCAATGGCTGCCGTGGGAAGAGTGGGCTCAGAGGACGGAGGCCAGAGAGGAAGCTTCCTTCTACTCCCTTTGCCTTCAGATTCAGATCCTACCAACCCTTCAAAGCCAAGTTCAGTCTTCCCCAGTGAAGCTTTTTTAAAAGAATCTGACTATCGCCAGCTTTTTCCCTTAACCTCCTAGAGCATATTCACTAAGTGGCACTTACTTTTGCTTAGTGTGTACGCTGTACTACAACCATTTCACACTTTGGATGATACTGTAAAGGCAGACTTCATAAACCCCACCCCCAGAGCCCTGTGGAGTTGTGAATGCAAAGCAGGCTTGTCAATCAGTATTTACTGAATTGAACTGCATAAAAATTACTAGCAGGAAGAGCTTTGCATTTTTGCATATTTGCTTCTTTGTCAGTATCACAGGCTAGGCTGTAGGAAAGGAAGAGAACTTGGATAAGGTTTTGTTTGGGACTTAAATTTTAAATTTTGCTATCAGAACCATGGCATTTTCCTATTCCTCACTGTCTTCAAGTCACCTCTAGCAGCAAAGGTCAACTGTAGCCTTCTGTTTGAAGGCTTCACTGTGCCGACTGGACTTCCCAGCTGGTCACTCCTTCCGGGCTTTGCTCACTTGGGCCTGGCACATCTCCTTGCAGCCTTTCTGGGAGGGATCCACTCACGTCACTGAATTTAGCTCTACTCAACTCAGAGCCATGATGGCTGACCCCAGTGATTTTCTACTCCTTTTCCTGAGCAAAAGTAAATAAATAAATATGATTTTGTTTTTCATTTTCTCCAAAACCAGTGATGGTTCTGCCCTGCTCTATCCAAATCCTTTTGCCCACTCTCTGATGCTGATCATGGCATTTACAGGCAAATAGCTGACAGGAGGTGGCCTGGACCACTGCAGCTAAGTTTGCTGCCATCTCCAGACAAAGGAAACTGGTCTTTTGGAAAGGGAACCTTGGCCTTACTAAAGAAGGAGAATACTGGACATGAATAATAGAAGCCATGGGTAATTCAACTCAGCAAACGCTAATGATGACGTATGGCATGCCAGGCCTTGTGTGACATCGTAGAGTGCTTGGAAAAGACCTTCACATCTGGCACCAGAAGTCCTGGGTTTTAATCATGGCTCTGCCTTTTGTTACCTAAATGATCTTTTGTGTGTGTGTATGTGTGTGTTTGTGTGTATGTTTATATATATATGTATGTATATATATATATGTGTATATATATATATATATATATATATATATATAATATAATTTACATTTAAGCACTCTATACTTTTTTCAGAGTTAATTTTATTCACCATCACTATTATTATAATTAATTTGACCAGAGACAGACAGAGAGAGAAAGGGAAAGTGAGAAAGCAAGCTGCTAGGTCCAGGACTTGAATCAACAGTTGGGAATGTAGGAATCCAGCGCCTTAGCCACGATGCTACCTGCTAGCCCCAATCACTACACATCTTTACAGTGTACAACATGTTTTTTCCCAGCAAAAATACAGTGCGTATCAGTCAAGACAGAGCCATTACCATATATATACATTATAACATATAATTCATTTTTATGTCAACTAAATGTAGTGTCTTTTTTCCCTTCCTCTCCTTTTCTCCCTCTATTACTCCCTATTACCTCCCCTTTACTATCTCTAGTATCTATAGTTACTCCCTATTACATCTTCCAATCTTTCTGTTTCTGCTATAGGGAATAGACATTTGGTATACACTGAGCAGGGACAGTCTTTAATAGTCTGGGTTGCTTTGCTTAGCATTAAATCTATTAATCTACTTTGTATCAAATGTCAAGACCTCATTTTTTATGGCTGAGTAGTATTCCATAGAGTACAAATGCAACATTTTTTTTTTCAATCCACTTGTCTGTATTTGGACATTTGGGTTGATTCCATGTCCTAGCAATTGTAAATAATGCTGCAATAAACATGGAAATACAAGTGTTTTTCTGACTGAGGGTTTTCCCATCCTTTGGATAAATACTCTTAGAATTACTGGGTTGTATGGTAGTTCTATTTGTAGGTTTCTGAGGAATCTCCGTATCATTCTCCACAGTGGTTGTACTAATTTACATTCCCACCAACAGTGCAGGAGAGTTCCCTTTTCACCACAGCCTCACCAGTATTAATCATTCTTTATTTTTTAAATTTTGGTCATTCTGACTGCGGCTAAGTGGTATCTCATAGTAGTTTTGATTTATATTTCTCTTACGTTAAGAGATGAGCATTTCTTTCATATTTTTTGGCTGTTCGTATGTCTTCCTTGGAGAGCTGTCTGTTCAACTCATTTTCCCATATTTAATTGGATTATTTTTGCAGGTAAGCTGCTTGAGTTCTCTGCACATTCTGGTTATCAGTTCCTTATCTGAGGTATAGTTTGCAAATATATTTTCCCACTCTGAGGGCTGGCTTCTCACTCTAATTATTGTTTCTTTTGCTGTGCAAAAGCTTCTTTTTAGCCTATGCAGTCCCACTTGTCTATTTTTGGGACTATTACCTGTGCTTTGGGGGCCTTTTTTCCAACTTCAAGGTATCAAGTAGTTTCTCCCAGTAGTTTCATACATTGAGGTTTTGTCTTTAGATACTTAATCTATTTTGAGCTGACTTTGTTAGTGGTGAAAGGTCCAGTTTCATCCTCCTGCATGTGGATATCCAGTTCTCCCAACACCACTTTGCGGAAGAGATTTTCTTTTTCCCACTGCATAGTCATGTGCCCTTTGTCAAGGAGTAGCTGGCTGTATGTTCTGGGCTCTCAAATTCTGTTCCATTGGTCTACCTGTCTATTTTTGTGCCAATACTATGCTATTTTATCCCAGCTTTGTAATATGTTTTGAGGTCCAAAAGTAAGATGTCTCCTACTTTATTCCCCTTGCACAGTATTGCTTTGGCAATATATAGGGCCTTTAATGATTCCAGGCAAATTTTATGATTGTTTTTCTATTTCTGTGAGAAATAACCTTGGTAGGGA